GAGACCTGGTGTAGTCCCTCTATCGAATGATGCACGCCGGCCCTGTCTTAGCTGCTCAAATACAGACAGATCAAATGTGTTAGGTTTCATAAATGCGAGTCCCATGCATTATTATTATTAGCGATCGCAAGGTTCAGCTGAAAACGCCGAAGAGTATTCGTAGCAGCAGAATTTCCGTTGTGGCAGGGGGACAGCATTGTGCACTGAAATCGGGGACAGCATTGTGCACTGAAATCGGACCAACCAACTTTTAGAATAATGCACAAGACCTGTCAGGCAATCATTTACATTTAGTTTGTGTGCTGTAATGGGGGTATATAAGTGGCTATTCATCACTATTATTACGAATGTTAATATTATTTTGACTGCTTACTGAAAGACCCACGTCCGCACTTGCCAATAATCTACCAAACCGCCCAGTGGTTGCGGTCATAACCTGGTTGTGAGTGTGCGCGTTGTAAACACGGGCCATTAATTTATGACTTATCACCAACGCATTGATGCCCTTTGAAATTCGGTCTGCAAAAGCCCCTTAATATTTCATTCCGGACCAAATGGTAACTTTATTATCTCTCTCAATGAAAAGCAATGCCGTGGAGATATTTTTTGTTTGTCCTTTGCACTTGGCTGCTGTCGCCGCAGACACCTCGGGACGCATTTAAATAACGCGTGAAAAGTTCACCTACCGCAGTTCATTTCAAAATATCAAGATTAATTTGATTCGCATTATTCCTCGGCAAGTGCTCTGACCGTGGATTTCTATGCACAGCCACGCACCTGGCATTTTTGCTACTGAATGACTCGGTGCCTATGCTCATGCACCCGGCGCTCTGCCCCGGCGTGGTGTTTGCGCGCCGCAATTTATTTTTTTATGCCGTGCAGAAAAAAATATTCAGCCCCCCGTGGCATTTGCGCCGGAGCTGCTTTGCACGGTAAAGGCGCGGCCCTGGAATTGTCTTGCTCACGCCGCTGCTGGCGGAAGCGGCCTGCACCTCGAGGAAGCTCCTGGGGAAGCACCCCGAGAGGGCATTCGTTTTGCTCACTCTTCCACGCCGGCCGGACACCTCGCGAGGGCCTCCGATGCACCGGATGATTGGGGGGGACACGGACGATGTGATGGGCGCACGCGAAGCCGGGTACGGAAGCATTACCGGAGAGATTTTCACTTGCAGTTGAAAACCAGCACGTGCGCTCAGAGGAGACTAGGTGACCCTTACCACCACTCGCCACTACGCTCACCACCACACGGCACACGCCAAACTCACGACCACGCTTCACCGCAGGCAGTGTGCTTCTCGACTAACCGTGGTGTACCATTTGTACTGCTTGGTGGTCGGAGACGGGGGGGGGGGGGGGGGTCGGGGGTGGATTTAAGAACCTGTGCTCCGTAATTTCAACTGCCGTGCCTTGAGATGGAACCGTCGACCTCTGAGTTGCAAGTGTGGTGTGCTATCCCATTACCACGCGTCAGTACAGGCCTTCTAAATGTACTGTGTTTGGTGTATGTGTGCCAATATTCGCAGTGTTGGCAAGATTGCTTTTGAAAAGTAATCTATGAGCAGGCCCCTTACAACCTGGGTAATATAATGTCTAATCTAGGACACAAAACAAATGAGAAACTACGCTCAGCTTGCATTTTCTAACTTTTAAAAAAATATACTTTACGTATTCATTGTAAACAAACTGGATTTACCTGTTTTTCAGTCGGTTTGACAGTGAGTGCGCTTTGAGTCTTATTATTTTTCTGTACATATTCACGCAATGGTTCATTCTGATTGGAAGGAACCAGGCACCTATGGCGTTGATGATTAAAATCCTACAACCTATAGACTTTCAGAATTAAAAGTAATCTCGCCAACTTCATCGACCATAATACAGGTTTTTTTTGGGGTTATATTGTGAAAATATAAATGTGTCGTTAAACCCGCCACCACCCAACACAGCCAATTAGTAAGGTTTGTCGTGTGAACAAAACATGACAAAACATGCCACGTGACAAACCTTAGTAATTGGCTGTATCGGGTTGTAGCAGGTTTAACGCACATTTATATTTCCACGATCTAACCCCAAAGAAACCTATATTATGGATAATATTGGTAACCAAAGCCTACTACAGTGAGGGAAAAAAGTATTTGATCCCCTGCTGATTTTGTACGTTTGCCCACTGACAAAGAAATGATCAGTCTATAATTTTAATGGTAGGTTTATTTGAACAGTGAGAGACAGAATAACAACAACAACAAAATCCAGAAAAACGCATGTCAAAAATGTTATAAATTGATTTGCATTTTAATGAGGGAAATAAGTATTTGACCCCTCTGCAAAACATGACTTAGTACTTGGTGGCAAAACTCTTGTTGGCAATCACAGAGGTCAGACGTTTCTTGTAGTTGGCCACCAGGTTTGCACACATCTTAGGAGGGATTTTGTCCCACTCCTCTTTGCAGATCTTCACCAAATCATTAAGCTTTCGAGGCTGACGTTTGGCAACTCGAACCTTCAGCTCCCTCCACAGGTTTTCTATGGGTTTAAAGTCTGGAGACTGGCTAGGCCACTCCAGGACCTTAATGTGCTTCTTCTTGAGCCACTCCTTTGTTGCCTTGGCCGTGTGTTTTGGGTCATTGTCATGCTGGAATACCCATCCACGACCCATTTTCAATGCCCTGGCTAAGGGAATGAGGTTCCCACCCAAGATTTGACGGTACATGGCCCCGTCCATCGTCCGTTTGATGCGGTGAAGTTGTCCTGTCCCCTTAGCAGAAAAACACCCCCAAAGCATAATGTTTCCACCTCCATGTTTGACGGTGGGGATGGTGTTCTTGGGGTCATAGGCAGCATTCTTCCTCCTCCAAACACGGCGAGTTGAGTTCATGCCAAAGAGCTCCATTTTGGTCTCATCTGACCCCAACACTTTCACCCAGTTGTCCTCTGAATCATTCAGATGTTCATTGGCAAACTTCAGACGAGCATGTATATGTGCTTTCTTGAGCAAGGGGACCTTGCGGGCACTGCAGGACTTCAGTCCTTCACGGCGTAGTGTGTTACCAATTGTTTTCTTTGTGACTATGGTCCCAGCTGCCTTGAGATCATTGACTAGATCCTCCCGTGTAGTTCTGGGCTGATTCCTCACCGTTCTCATGATCATTGCAACTCCACGAGGTGAGATCTTGCATGGAGCCCCAGGCCGAGGGAGATTGACAGTTGTTTTGTGTTTCTTCCATTTGCGAATAATTGCACCAACTGTTGACACCTTCTCACCAAGCTGCTTGGCAATGGTCTTGTAGCCCATTCCAGCCTTGTGTAGGTCTAAAATCTTGTCCCTGACATCCTTGGAGAGCTCTTTGGTCTTGGCCATGGTGGAGAGTTTGGAATCTGATTGATTGATTGCTTCTGTGGACAGGTGTCTTTTATACAGGTAACAAGCTGAGATTAGGAGCACACTCTTAAAGGGAAGGGGTCAAATACTTATTTCCCTCATTAAAATGCAAATCAATTTATGACATTTTTGACATGCGTTTTTCTGGATTTTTTTGTTGTTATTCTGTCTCTCACTGTTCAAATAAACCTACCATTAAAATTATAGACTGATCATTTCTTTGTCAGTGGGCAAACGTACAAAATCAGCAGGGGATCAAATACTTTTTTTCCCTCACTGTACGTGTTAAACCTGCTTCATTGTGTGGTACACGAAGGATCGCCCTATGGCTGTACCCAAGTAAAAAAAATACATGCAAGTAATTGGGGAGGCCTGTAGACATTTACTTAAAAATAACCTAGCCTAATCAATGACAACATTAACCTTTGTTGGAAACAAAGTTGGTGTTTTATTAAAGATCACTTCCCAATGAGGTCGCCGGGTTGTTCAAAGGTCTCGACCTGGTCATCACTGACTGCACAATAATTCTCGTAAAATTATTCCCAAAAAAATGCCTGCACTTAATTTGGATAAATTCCAGCTCTGAGCATTACAATTGCAAGTTGGTCAAGCGACGAGCATTTGCTGTCCGTAGCAGGCAGGTGATGAAGTGCTGCCCCCTAGCCTGTGGAACAGAGAACACTGGACGGGATCTCAGAAGTATCTCTGTGACATACATATTCACTGCTGAGAAGGCACACGGTTGTTGCTCACGTTTCGAAAGGAGAGAGGAGCGACAGACAATTACCGAAAGGCAGGCGGGCGGGCCATGAGCCGGTACCAAACAATTCCCCTAAACTCTGCGTAACTCTCTCTATGTTAAGGTATTTTCAACCAATTACTGAGTCAGTTTAATGCGCTTTCGCGAGCAAAATTATCAATAATGTATTTGAGGAGGTCGTGGGTTCGATCCCAACCCTGACGCTTGTATATTTGGAATTTGCATGTTCTCTCCGTGGTTGCGTGGATTTTTTCTCCGGCCTCATTGGTAGTTCCCCTCCACATTTATAATCAACGTGCTTTTAGAGTATTTGACTGCTATAAATTTCCACACGGTAAGCCACTTTCTTGTGAGGTATCATTTGTGGCCAGGTCGCTTCTGAATGAGAGCTATATAGCTCAGTGGGCCTTATCCTGGTGAAATAAAAATAGTTCAGTTTAGTTTACCTGTCTAGGGAAGGCAAAAGAACCCCACCAATGTTGATTCATCGAGCCCGGCGCGCCAGATGTGCCGCAGATGAACATCGCATGAAAGTGTCACGAAACGAGATCACACCCTGGGCGTCGGCATGTGCGCGTTCCGATGACATTATCTCCCTTACCATAAGCCGAGCTGCACCGCAAGAGAAGTGTTGCACTGGGCGTCGACAATTCATTTTGACGTCCTTCGTAATCCTTGCGAGAGAGAGAGGGCATCGTTTTTAATACAAGTCATTAAATGCGTCGCCATATTTCATGCAAGAACAAACTCGGCTGCCTATTTTTAACTTGCCCGTTTAAATGAGTTGCCGGGGACGCGTGCGGGGTGACTGAGAGCGATTCAATTGTTTCCCCCCCTACCTGTGCCGTTCCTCTCTCTGCCCAGGCCTTGGCCGTACACCACGTTTGAGAGCGGTTACGACCTTCTGAACGGAAAACAGCCAACAGACAAAATCTTCAGGTATGTAACCCGCGCCTGCAAGGTGATGGCTTGAAATACATTATTATTATAATATAACGGTCACGGTCGAGGTCAAACAGTCAAAATTCTTTGCTGCTGGAATGGACATCGACGCGGAGTGCTCAGCTCCTGTTGGCACTCCTGGGCCGGGAGTGGAAATTCCACATCCTTACTGTACGGGTGAGTCTGTCGTAGGACACACACTGTTGACCTCTCCGCAAAGTAGTATTCCTTTTATCACCCGTCTTGAGGGGTGACGGGCTGAGTCATTGCGAATCGATGATTTGAACTCTCAACCTTCCGATTTTGAGCCGCTCTCTCTTTGCCGCTGAGCCGCCGGCCATTTGGGTTTTTTCGCTCACGCCACTGCTGGCGGAAGAGCCTCCACTAGAAACAGCGACAGACAGCCCCTCGATGCAGTGTTTGTTTGGCCTACTCTTCCACGTTGGCCAGGCGTCTTCGAGGAGGTGGGAGTGCATCCACGCTTTACCCCAACACACGTGACCTGCCGATAGACTAACTGTGCTGAACACATTCATACTGCTGGCTGGACAGAGGTGGTGGTTTGCGATTTAAGTAACTTGTTAATTGTTTCAACTGCTGTGCCAGTAGTTTGCTAGTCCGGTGTGCTAACCATTACACTGGCAGTATCCCCCGGTTTTTAATAACACTATCAACTGAAACTGCTCACATATAATGCATATATTTTTCTTTCGATGAAAGAGCCAGTTAAATCATTTGTTTGGCCCCTATTCAAAAGAACAAAAAAAATATTGCCGCTAATTTTCTTGTATGGGCATTCATTTTATCTTCAAACAATTTTCTATAACTTTAGGCCGAGTACTTTTTTTTCAACCTTTGGAATTTAATATAGTCCACCAATAACGAGATGATTAAAATTCATGATCTGTAAATTGTTATCGCAATGTCCATTATAAGTTCGGAACATTTTTTTAATACCACTTGGGGGAAAAGAATTCTCTTTCACGCTAAAATTGCAAATTAACAACTCGGAGTTTCATGTCTCCATCCTTGCCTGAATCACTCAGCAACATCCACAACTGCCTATGCAGCTGGCCGGTGGTGCGCCTTGATGTGTGTGTAAAGCTGTAACACTAAAAACTTTTTTTTTTACCAGGTAAGGCCCCACTGAGCAATATAGCTCTATTTCAGAAGCGACCTGGCTATCACAAATGATAGCTCAACGAAGTGGCTTATCATATAGCAGCCAAATTACTCTACAGCAGTGGTTCTCCCCGGGACCACCGGTGAGTGGGACGCGATGGCCCTCCAGGTGGTCCGCGAGGCTGTGATGCAGAACGCAGCTTGGTCCGGACAATAATGACAACGTTTATACCTCTTGTTTCACACATTCATTCATGTGTTACCATGATATTTAATTAAAAAAATTAAGTTGGGTAAACTACCCTGGCCATGAGATTTAAATGCGCCCCCACCCCCCGCCCTAAAAAGAAAATGTATAGCTGTGTAAAAATAATATTTTTATGTTCCAGTAGTATGAATCATATTGTATTAGTGGTATTTAGAGAGAAGTGATTGCGTTTCGTCACCAGGGGTGGTAGGGCAGGTTGGTCAGCGAAAAATATTTTCATGGTCCGAGGGCGAGAAGAAGAGAAAGAAGCACCGCTCTAAACGCTGTGATGTCGATTCTAAATTGTGGGGGGGGAAAAACCGGAGGACCCTGAGAAAAATCCACACGACCACGGGGAGAACATGCACACTCCAAATATACAGGCGTCAGGGTCGGGTTCGAACACACGACCTCCCGCATACCAGGCGATTGAGTTGACATCTCGCCACCGCGGCACGTGCGGACAGGTTCACGTACGGCATGGGTCAAGGGCTGTGGCTGCCCTTCAGCAAGACTTTCGTCGTTCCTCCCGTCGAGCTGGACATCAGCCCACTGGCCAGCTGCCGTACGGACCTGTCCATCACGGAGGAGACGGCTGAAGTCCGGTAGGTCCCCCTCCTCCCTCTCACCCCTCCCGTGCAGCCAACCCATGAAATGTTTGTTAAAATTGCGAGTGAAATACTTTGGCGGGCGAGGGGAAAAGCGAAGACAACGATGCATTAGACGTGTTGTTTAGTAACGCTGCATTGGCAGTGGTGCACGAGCACTTATAACAAAATACTCAACACTTCCCAAAATGTAACATCACATGACAGCGACTATTACTACTATGAGAGAGAAGTTTATTTGTGCATCTGTCATTCCTCATAATCAGTATGCGTCTATGCTCCGACCATTGCCAGGTGATGTGCGTTACACCCTTGAGCCCTGTTATCAAACCAGGTGTGGGTTAATCTCGGTGTGTGTTGGGGAGCGGTGGCGCAGTGGTTAGCACGCTGGGCTACAGACCCAGCGACTCGAGTTCGATTCCCCCTCACGGCACAACACCAGTGACGATTATCTGAAGAGGTCCTGGGCATTCCCTACTTCGACTTGGCCTCAAATGAGTACCTCATGCGGTGTGTAAACATCACCACGAGGGATACAAAGGTGGCCGGGCACGGTGCTGGCCACCCACTTCCTCGTAGGTCATGCCGGCCTTCATAGGCGCTCGCAAACAGCACCTGCCCAAAAAGTCTGTTCAGGCTATACGATTTTTGGCTTTGTGTTGAGAATGCATTTCTCTAATCCCACCAACTTCGAGGTTAAGCGGTATTGGTGGATCATGCAGAGATGACGCCTGTGTGAGACCCACACACACGCAGCGCAGGCATATTTCCATTATAAGTTTGTACGGCTGCCCTGGCTCGTGAGTTTTTCCCCAAGTACTCAAATTTCCAGTTTATCCTATTCATATATATTTTAAAAGAGAGACATATATATAAAAAGCCCTTAAAATAATCTCCAAAAAAAGGGTCCTCCTGAAAATGTCGTTTGAGGCATCCTTGTGCAAATGTGGACTTGCTCGCAGTTAAATGACAATTGCTGTCTGAAGTGAAATTATCATCGCCCTCTGTTGTCGTAGACAATTCTGGGGGGGGAGGGGGAGGGGTATTTTTAGCCCTAGAAAGTAGCAATAACAACAGTGAGCATCCACGCAGACGCAGGCAAAAGAGTTTCCCCGCAGCCACCCGGCCGCTACCTCCCACTGCATGTGCTACCGGCCGGCCAACGTTTCGTGTTCCAAACAGCCCGCAAAAGCCCGCGGCGTCATATACGCTTCACCATCACGGCCTGGCATGGAAGGTGACAGGTGGCGGCCCTGCAATTTGCCTCCTCACGCCGCTTGCTGGCGGAAGGGCCTCCACTCGAGGGAGCTCTGGAGAGCCCCTGGAGTTCTGCAACTTCTATGCTCCCCACGTCTATGTTTCCCGCCTTAAAGCTACCCGAGCGGATCGGCAGGGCGAAGTGTGGCCAAGTAACCCCGCCCCGCGGTGCAGACTTTGAGGCCGGTGGCCGACATCCAGCAGGGGATTAATAAGAGGGGCTGTGCATTGGAATCTTGTGGGAAAAGGTGAGGTGGGCTTCACGGAATCCTTGCAGTGGATGCCTCACATCCCACCGATTGCCATGGACAGCAGACAACCTTCTGACCCACAGCACAGACCTCCCACCATTTCCGTCATGAATGGAAAGTGTGCCAACTGTGGCCTTTGCAACCATGGACCATATAGTAAACCACTGCAGTCTGCGCTCCTCGCAAAACTACACAAACTCTCTCCTGAAGCCTCCTCGTGGCTAGCAGACCTCGACATTGGCATTTAGTTCCAGAACATATTGCCACATGTAAGAATAAAATAGAATGATAAGCTTTTATTTACTTTTAAAGCGAAGTTGTTAGCAATGTGTTTTATTTAAGGCAATGTTACACTGCTTGTGCCTGCACAGTATCGCCAAATTATTATTTTTTTGCGTGGGACTGCTTCATCTCAAGTGGTGCATCGTCACATGACTGACACAAGCATGGAACGCTGAACATCTCGGGAAGACTCAGAGATGTCCCAGCAGCAAGGACCATCCTGGAAGAAAAACAGGACACAAGTGGCAACTCTGTCTGGAAAAACGTAGAAATATCCCAAGAGAGATAACGGATTTGAGCATGTGCACGTTCCTCATTAGCAAAACGAATGTAGCCTCCGAGTAAGTTTGCACATTAATTTCAACGCGCATTGTTTACTGGAATTCTTAATTAAGTGGAGAACTGCTCCGAGCTGCAGATATTTTGTTGTTGCACTGTTCATGGGAAAGAAAGCAAGGCAGAAAGAGCGCGCGTTAAATTAATTTTGGCAATTAATGTATTTCTTTATTGGCGGATTGATTTGATGTGAATCTTACCGTGGCTGCTGATTTTAAGCTGAGTTAACCTCAGGGGAGGTGGGGGGGGGGAGCTTCCCCCCACCTCCACCCACCCTTGCTGTCTGGGTTGAGGAAACCTGTGGCCTGAGTGCATTGTGCATTTGTTGATTGGCCATTGAAGTGGAAACAAAGGTGAGAGTGAAGGAGGCTTACCGACGCAAATAACTTAGCAAGCAGCGGAGTCAAAAGTCAAAGTGATTTGCTGCTCAAACGAGCATTGAGGCATTGGCGCCCATCTCCCATCCACAGCCCTGCAGAGGCAGCGGCGGAAATTGAACACTCCTATTGCGGCAGCGAGTCTACCCCACGGGACTACCACCGTTGACTTCCCCACAAAGTGTTACTCATTTTATTGATCCTAGAGGGACGATGGGTTGAGTCAACCTCCCACCCTGCTGCGCCCCAACGAGGATTTGAAATCGTAACGTTCGGATGGCGAGCCCGCTCGCTCAATCGCTGAGCCACCTGTCCTGGTTTGGGCAGAGGAGCGCTCAGTTTGAATTCTCCCTTAATCAAGAGATATTGCAACCCAATGGACTCTGGACTGCTTTAATATAAAGAGTTAAAAGGAACAGAAAAAGGTTGCATCACGACCCAAATTGATCGCATTCAATATACATGGTCCCAAACCAATAAGATCCAGCTCGTGTATAAGCTGCTTGGAGCTTATTGGAGCTGTCCCTTACCGAGGTTTTTTTTTCTTTCATATAAATAAAATGAAAGTCATCAAGTATCGCATGATGTTGTAAATCGAAGCCGTGCGGTGTTCCGCGTGTTTTCTGGATGCTTATTTGTTGACTTCCCTCTCCCACCAGCTTACATTGCAATGTCGAATTTTATTTTAGAAATGCCTCCATGAGCGTCTCCTAATGGAAAGGTTGTGAGTTAAAATCATGTATGGGGGGGGGGGGGTTAGCCCATAATCCTTCCGTGGGTTGATAAAATATCTACCATGTTGCAGGGAAGTCAAGATTGTTTTTTTCTATGGATTGATTTTCCCCCACTGCAGAAATATGGAATTTTTACCACTGCCTCAGGGCTGTATACAGGAGATTTGCACCAACGCCTCAATGCTCATTTGAGAAAGGAAACACTGTCACTTTTTATATTTGTGCAGTGGGCAGAGTAAGTGATTTAGTCTTATTGCTACATACAACCTTTGTAGCTGGTGAAGGACTTTGATCATTTATAATTTATAATACATGCACATAAATTTCCTCAATTTGCATCTCACTTCCGCATTAATCAAAATCAACAGAAATCATAATTGTGCAGCTCGTTGATGTGTGTAATAAATTGTGCGTTTTATTTTTTATTTTATTTTTATACGTGCTCTTCTGACTTTTTCTTTTCAATTAGACGTCAATGTCCTGGCCCCCCTCGCCACGGACAGACTTTGTCTCATCACTGGTCCACACATCGCCTCAACAGAGCCCCGGCTTCATCACAAATAAATGTTTACCCTTGTTCCTTTATTTGCTTATTATCGAATAACTCTGTTTTTTCTGGAGGTTCCTGTTACATTGTTTTTTTTTTCCCCTCACGTGTTTTCCGCCATTTGAACGATCAGTTGTGTTTATAATACGTGTGTCTGGGAGGAAACCGGAGCGCCCAGAGAAAACCCACGGCCTCGCGTGAGGGTAGTAACACTCTCTACCCCCATACAGATGGAAACTAATGGCGATTAAGCCACTTTTGCTGGACTGCCTTCTCCTGGCAAGCCAGAGTATGGCACCTCGGTACCCACGGGAAGGGTGTCTCACCACATTTGTGCGGTGATCCAACAACCCTCGCCTCCACAGTGCTGGATTATGGACGCGTGGATGCACGACCGCTCAGCTATTTATTGTTAAATAAGTGCATTGAATGTAATGATTACGAGAAAGACCTTCCCTTGTCCTCTGCAGACTGACTACATGGCCTGTCACTACAAAGCACTGGGGCTTAATGCTATGAACCTACATGCGGATTTTGGGCTTTTGTCGCCCTAGAATTCCCCCCAGTGTTTGTGTGTGTGTGTAGTAATGACCATGAAATAAATGCCTTCTGGTGAAATAATTGATACCCAAATAAATAAGAATGATTTGCAACTTTAGTCTCGCTATACACATGGGTCAGCATTTTGCTCGCATGATTCTGGAAAAAAGAATAGTTTTTTCAGCTCATTTAGCAATTTCTTCTTGTGCACCACACAGCTATGCTTGACAGCGTTCCTTTACGAATGAGACAACAATTCAGAATAACGAATGCACATTGGCTTCATCTACCCCTTGCCAAGTGAACTCACGAAGCATGCACTGATTTGTCAATTAAAATCAATCGCGATGCTCACAATCGTTTGCAGCTTTAATGCGGACCGTCCTTTGTCAATGTGCTACAGGGCGAAAGGCCTGCACTCGCTCTGTCAGTTAGCAATGTTGTTTGATTATACTTCACTGTGCTGTCAATGATAATGGTTGAATTCGGCACCCAGGATAGGTTCAGATATTACTCAGAGTTGATCTTAGTCATTGCTTCGACTTGAACTTAAGTTGCTGGATTAGAAGTGCAACGTGTTGACCACTGGCCGACACACGCTCACCGTACGTGTGCCGTGTCAACGATTCAGAGACAGAGTTTATCGGAGGCACTTTCTTTATTAACAACTTTC